TCCAAAAACCCGATATACCTTTCTTCTATCACCCAGCAATCATCGCTTCATCTTCAGACACAAGACACAAACGTCAAATCTTCTCGTGATAATGGTCGCCGTTGGTACTCTTGCTACTCGCATCATCGCGGGTGTCACTGTCCCCGACACTCCTCTTATCAATGCATCGATATCCCTCGCCCGCGAGGCACTCAGCGATCGCCCGTACAATCACGTCATGCGAGCTTGGCTCAATGGACAGACAATTCTTAACAAGATGCCTCCTGAGAAACGGGCCACCGTCGATGAGGAAGCCTTCGCTATAGGTGCGATCCTTCATGACATGGGCTGGTATGTTCAAAGTTCCTGAATCGTTGCCACTCCTCGATGTGATTGACAACATGCTCACTCAATCTAGGGCTTTCGATACTGAGTATGTGTCTGACGATAAGCGCTTCGAGGTTGATGGAGCCAACGTCGCCCGAGAGCTAGTCAGGAAGCAGGGCGCGAACTGGGACAAGCACCGTGAGCAATTGCTCTGGGATGCTGTTGCCTTACACACTTCCCCTGATATCGCAGCTCATAAAGAGCTTGAAGTTGCTCTAGTGTCTGGGGGCACTTTCTGCGAGCTTGCTGGTCCAGAAATTGCAAAGCAATCCTGGGTGAGTAGAGTCTAATTCAACGGCGGGTTTTCGTGGTAGACCAAGCTGATATGTTGTTAGGGCGATCTCATCACTGTGACTCAGGACGAGTGGGCTGCCATTGCTGCAGAATTCCCTAGGGATGGAATGAAAGACTATCTGATTGATACTACAGTGCGTCTTTGCTCAATGAAGCCAGAGACGACATACAACAACTTCCAAGGAGACTTCGGTGAGAAGTATCTTGAGGGTTACTCCCGTGAGGGTAAGAAGATCGTGGATTTGATGGACGCGTTTCTTCCTTGAAGGTGTCCAGGAGGATCATTTGATCAAGCAATCGTGAGTGGGAACATAACGTGGTTTACAAGCGAGTGATGCATCCCACCAACTTTACGCACCTCTCATCTCTCGACCCTCAATAGCTCCACGTTAGATTACCCAATCACAGTCAAATGATACAAGTATTCAATGTCCGCTGTGTCGTCCTGATCAATGCACTCATGGTCGATCCATAAATACTGACATTCTTGTCCTCGTGCGAAACGCAAAGCGCGATGCAGGACAATTTTAGGACACCTAACCTCTCTTGGGACTTGACACAGGCTAGAGGCATTCCAGATCATGTGTTCTGGTACTTGCATTACTTCGCATTCAATTTGCACATGGGTCCAATGATACGAAACATTTGTGTAGACTAAGCCTTGCGGATGTTCTTTGGTCGATGTGAGTCTGAGATCAACGTTGTCATTATGGGATGACTGGCCATCAGGTTGAATTGGTGTGAGAACACGCAGTTGCAGGGGTTTATCATCATGTCGTGTTTGGATAAGGAGAACTCCGGGACTAGTCTGCTGGGTGCGGAGGTCAGGGGCGGGCGAAGAGAATCTTCAGTTGGAGACGATAGACGACATTACATCAGGGGGCGGGGGAGTATGGGTATGAACAATATGTTGGGAATCATCTAAACTTGATGCCCGAAGACTGCCTTAGCTTGCACTATCGATGTACACCATCGCGCACCAAGTACATGAAGATACTATTCTCCTATTGGGCATTCAACGGCGTACCAGGTGTATGCCGCATTTTGATTAGGGGTAAAAGCCTGATCGAACGTTGGTGCAGAGAATCCCAATGCTAGTGTGCAAATCCTTGTTGTGGAGTTGATAGAATAGACACGACAGGTACGGCCTGCAAGAGTATAGTTTTGGCACCGGATCCTGCAAGTGGCCTGGGTCTGCCCAGCAATGTTGGTGTAGGTCACTCCTGGCCTTGGGTTACCGGTAACGCCACATGTGGGTTTTGGTTCAGGCGTTGGAGTAGAAGTAGGAGTTGGCGTAGGTGTGGGAGTGGGAGTAGGGTTAGGGGTAGAGGTCGAAGTCGAGGTTGAGGTAGAGCTAATGATGACATCTGTGCTACTGGAAGAGATGGTACTTGTCGATGTAATAGTCGAGGAAGGCGACGGGGTTGGACTTGATGCTGAACTGCTTGGTTGCACGGTGCTGGAGACAACGTAGACAGCTTTTGGTCGTCAGCAAATGTTACACAGGTCAGGTCAGTGACTCACCATTCACACTATCATTTATAGAACCACCGTTCTTTGTGCTCTTGAGATAGCAAGTACCGTCGCCTTTGCCACCAACAAACGAAGCGGCCAGGCACTGCGCATTTCCTGAGCAAGCTTGTGTACACGCCTCGAGACTCGCTGCGTACTGGTTGGTGAAATCGCCCCCATAGAAGTCAACTCCACAAGTAAGTGCCAGAGTACGTGCACCATCAGTGTACGAGCAGCCATCGTTCTCCGGGCAGGTAAAACTGGCAGGGCACTGCTTGGGGTCATCCGGCACTGGAATAGGCATTGGTGAGGAATCCCTAGAGATTACAGCTACTCCGATCACGTTGGAACTAATGGCTGAGTCAATGGAAAGTTGACCACGAAGCAGGGAATTTCATACTTGGGCTGAGCCGCATTGAGCGTGCTTTTGAGGTAGCAGTTACCACCTATGTAGCTTGCAGCATTGCATCCCGTGGTCGTGGAGCATGTCCGGATGCAACCTGCTAACGTAGATGTCTTTGGAAAGATTAGCGGTCAAATCGATACATCTCACCGCAGAGTTGGTCATGCTTACTTGTGCCAATTGCAAATCGCCGCCATAGTAGTCAGTCGCACAGCTGACTTGAAGAGTGGCCCCATTCGAGGTGAGCGAGCATTGGTCGTCCTGGGGGCAGGTCGGGGACGACGGGCAGATCGACGAGGCTCGCAGTGCAAGCGCAATTGCGCGGAGGGCAGGTGCCATTTTGAAGTGTGAGAAGATGCGAAACTTGTCTTGTTGATCGAAAAGACACCGCCCTTCACAGCTTTATACATGCTGACCGTCTCCTGTTACGGCCTGGCCGTAGAGAAAAACTGCCTAACGTGGAAGCAATGCGTCCATCGAAAGATTTTGCGAGTTTTCAGCTTCGGATTTGCAGCCTCTCGATAATCTCCAGATCTGTGGCTTGACGCTCTGTTCAAAAAAGCATCTGTGATCGCGGATCATGTGCATGAGGCTAGCGTTGAAAGTGGGTCGTGGTAATCCGGGGTTAGTCCAGGGGTGCCGTCTCAATCTAGACCGAGGTCGCGGCTAGAAACGTAAACCACGAGCACAAAGACAGACCTAGCGGACTTCATAAGGGTATTAGCCATCTTTGACGGTGTTGCCGAAACCGGGTGTATCGTGACAGCCTGAAGCTCGGCCTCCGCCGACAACGCCCCGAGAGAGTCCGTTCCAGCCCTCAATTGGCAACTGGATCTCGAACGTGACCGCGTTGCTGACGCTTTGGTGCGTGAGGGTGATTTTGAGGTTGCCAAACTCGAGTCTATCCACATTCATAGAAATCCTACGTACGTATTATCATCGCGATTGGCAAAGTCTGCGACACCAAAGTGCTCGTTGTCGCTGGAAAAGACTGCCTTGGTACCAGAACGGTGAAGCGCGGGTATGCCCTTGTAGGTAATGACGCTCTGGGTGAGGATGATATAGCGGTGGGTAAAACATGACTCAGGCTGGTACCGAGCGCGAGGATAAATTTGAACTAGCCAGCACGTAGCATTATGATAGGATGAGTGTTCAGCCAGCGTGGATCGCTTATGCACTTTGTCCTTGGTCAACTATGTTTTGATGAAGGTTCAGTGAGACCATACTGATACGTACCTAGATAGATTTAGAGTAATGGCCTTCCCATAACCTCGGCAGTGTCTTGGAAAGTACTGCGTGCCAGCTTGGTAAGATTTTCGGCGCTGAGAGAATGCAGGTCACGGATATGGATGTCTGCAGTGTCGCAGAAGACTCAGACCACGTTTCGGACTGATGAGTTTAGATCCTCTATCGTAGTACCGGTATCGACTCTGGTCATGAGTAGCAAGTGCCTGGACTAAATGATGTTCCTGCGTCGAATTTTGGGAGGAATATATGTGTATGGAGGGCAGCAGGTTTATATGCCTGACTGATACAGGAGGATTATAGCGCGGTTGCGCAAAGGCTTTGCAAGCGGACAGGTCAAGTGAATAAGGGTACCTAGGTAGGTGATGATCAACGCAAGAGAGTCGTAGGCTGCACCGACATCAAATGTGGTTCATAGGTCCACCGCGAACCATGGAAGGCAAATGTAGGGTCCCTTCACCTTTGCCAACGCGCGCATTCCAGTAAACACAAACAGTCTGCTGCCTCCACAGATTTGATCGTGCACTTGAACCTCTTCGACACCCTCACTACTTCATACCACACGCTCTCTTTACATCACACTCTAGCCTAGTACTGTTCATCAAAGAAGAGAAGACAAGAACACCACGATGTCTCCAAACGGCCCTGAATCCATTCCTCACGCTATGGCGAATTTTCTCGTCACGAAACTCACAGATGCTACGATCTGGGTCCAGGAGAAGAACAACGAGAGAAGGGAAAAGGCGCGACGCCTTGCGGATAAGCAAGTAGATCGCGAAGCCAACGATACACGCCGACGCGCATTGGGTAATATAGAGGGCGAGGATAGGAGCCTGATGGGAGACTGGCAAGCCGAAGAGGGAAGGCGTCGTCCACAGGAGAGGGAGAATTAGCGTCGTTGATGGGGCACATGGGTCGGCTCTGTCGTGGTGGAAGAGAGGGAACTAAGTGGGACATTGGCGATGGAGTCTTAGTAAGGCTATTTTATTTCTTCTCTATGCTTAGAACTACACTGCATCTTCACGGCAGAGTTGAGAAGAACGGAATGTTAACATTCAGATGAGACAGAGTTACGTTACAGGATCTAATTCATGTAGTGCTTGAGCCTTCGATGGGTCTGCATCTCCATAGGCTACATACAGATACCTTCTCCATGAACCTTAGTGCTGCCGAAACACATCTACTTTGTATGCATCCGGACATCAGCACGCCTCACAACGCAATCCAGAATCTCGACCAGTATGGCAATTATAACCACGCGCACCTGATTCAATAGCTGCTCGCCCATACCGGTCGCTACGCTTGCAAAGAAGAAAATGGGCGCCAAGAATACGTCGCGCTCGACGTTCTTAGTCCAACTCAGCTGTTGCAACACGGCAGTGTACATACCAAGTGCGATCGCCATCCTCCAGATAACGATCAGCAGACTCCTCGGACCCAAAAGCGATGCGCCGAGCAAAGTCACTGCGTACAATGTCAGGACAACCATCTGGGCGTTCCTTGCCAGCAGCGGACTAGTGATAGTGACTGGCCCGATCGTGCTAGGTTGGGCGGACATGTCGTCTTTCTTATCGCTGATACTGGGCCTAGTAGGCTTCTCCGCTTCCAATAGACCGATCCCGTCAACCCTGATCGTGATGTGTACTGACGGGTTGGATCTGGCATCAACGTTGCTACGATGCGCGCGGTCGTGTTCTGCCAATACTTCTGCAATCTTGCTGGTGACGTACTCGCGAATGCTTTGGCTCAAGGATCTGTCGTCGTGGAAGATATTGGATGCAAAGGACTTGCGGTGGCTGCTATGTCCGTCTCCCGCAGTTTCCACGTGCCCGTAGGCAGTCTCGACCGAAGGTCGAATCTGCCCAGACATGGGAAGATCGGCCACAGAGTCGTCTAAAAGCATCTTCTCGAAATCTGTACTCTTCTTCTTGGGACTGGTGTCTTCGGCTGGGTCGCTGTTCTTGGGAGAATTGTGGTTGCCTGTGAACTGATTAGTTGAGCCCAGGGTATGAAGAGCGCGTTAGTTTACCATGTTGTTGCACAAAGCAGTCGAAATGGTCAATACCACCTTCTGTGAATGACCTGTTGTCCTTATCTGACTCGAATTTAGCAGGTCTCACTTGACGCTTTTTGAAGAGGTACTCACTATACATAGCCTCTGCGATCTTGTGAGAGGAGTCCAGTGGCACGCTGCTCCGCTTGTCCGTACCACCCGCTGTTGTTGGAAGAATTCTCTCACTCATGGTCAGTCGGGTCGCGGCGATGTCTTGGTTTGTGTTCTGGGCTGAACGCTGAGAAAGAACGCGCCTCATCGACTGGGAAAATGAACCCTTCTTCTTGACGCTGTTCTCCACCTTCGACTTCGGCAGTGTAGGTTGCACATATGAGGGCGTCGCACTGACAATGTTCAGGTCATTGGAATCATTGCGCGTTGCAGATTCGTTGTTCACTGACTGTCTTCGTGCTTCAGCTACTGTTGATTCAGTATCTATATAGCGACCCTCTTCATCTTTCAAAAGCCGCGATGAGCTATGCGAGGAACGCTCACTGGGCAGCAAACCGACCTGTCGGAAACCTGGAGGCATAGTCGGGATTGGCATCGGGCTTGATCCTGGGGGTAGGAGCGAATTGGTCAGGGCGTCAGGGCTTGAGGATGCGCCCGAGCTGGGTCGATGTTTGAAGATCTCTCGGAAGCGGCTCGACTTGCGCTCGGCTCTTGGTGTCACGTTGGCGGGAGCACTCAGGCGAGCCATACTGTGGTCTTGCGCAGTGGCGAGCTCGATTTTGTGTGTCTTGAACGACGACCGTAGCGGGGTAGGTGAGGTGGGACAGTTGTGTGCGCGAGGTGGTGTTGTCGTTGTCGCGATCGACTATGCGAGAGTCAGAGTGAAGGTGAGCCCGAGAAAGTTCAAACGCGCTAACGTCAACAGAAATGCTCCTGGAAGAGGAAAATGAAGTGGCGCACGATTGTTTATAACGACTGATTAGCCCTTCGGAGTTGTGAATACGATCTCGCCATTGTGCTTGCTTGAATCGAGCCATTGACTCGATTGCTTGCACAATGACGCAAACGACGAACCGAACGAAGTCAAAAGACTGGAAATAATGACGAATCATGTATGAAGAGTCACCGCGCCTTTTTTAGATCGTTCTAGGCCAGCTGTCCTGATATTTTACCTTGTCAACCTTGCATTCGATCAAGGATTGTTATGACTATGTTGTCGGCTACTGGTGGATGATTATTGGACCCATCAAGTTTGGGAGATCAAGATGAGAAGAGACATAGCCTGCGAATTCGCTCAGTGTGGGTGTTAGTTGTGGCAGTAAAAGTAGGAGCGTATGCTCCGGACTGCTTCTCATGTTGTTCAGCGCGATGGCGCTGCATATCGTGTAGCGGACGAGGGCTGGAACAAGTTGCTTGATCACAGCTGCTCCAGAAGAACAAAGGTTACAAGACCTTCCCTGGAGATCCGTGTGTAGTCTAGGGTCGTTTATGAAGGCGGTGCGTCCCGACGGCCACATGGGGTAGTCTGACGGATTATGTAGGGCGATGGCCCGTGCACTCTCTACGCCTTTGCGCTACTGCCTTTGTACATCCTCGAACACCATCACCATATCGCGATAGCATGAGCGGTTTTCCAGGATAACATATCGCGCAAAGCCATCCCTCAACGTATCCCACTTGCATGCTTCTCGTGAGGCATTACGATACCCGAGGCCTGGAGCGACAACACGTAATGTCGCCTTGATCGTTGTTTCATCTTTGGTGTTCCGCATCTTTCGCAGATGTTCGTACCGTCATCTTCTCGAAGTTGATATGTTCTACGTGAGAGTCCACAGTATGCATAATCCTACCGCTTAGCATTCATAGCTGCTTGGCGCCAGCACGGTACTCATTCATAAAATTCGAATTCAATCCGTTCATCCAGCGCATCGGTTTGGAACCATTTGATGGCTTAGTCAACTTCAGAATGAAGCCATCGTTGCTACTCATCTTCGCCGGCCTCAGCTCAGTGGCTTTGGCCAACGTCGGCACACCGAGTAGAGAGAGCCAAGCCCATGTGACAGGTAGCACACCGGGCGCCGCCCAAGTCAACATGGCCATTGACGACGCGCATATAGCACAGGATCCGATGATGATGGGTGCCATGCCCTCGAGTAACGGCGACGACTCACCTCGCCACCGACAAGAGAAGGCGCACCTCCTCAAGAGGATGGATAAGAAGAGCGGTAAATGGGGCACGAGCCATCCGCGATACCGACTTCTCGAAGCGTTGTGGGCATATACCAGTTACCGCGAACGTCACATGGCCGAGTTGGACCGATGGCGAAGCTTGTACAAAAGCACTGGAAAGAAGCAGAAGAAGGTCAGCTGACCATGGACGTTGTTCTCGCAATCGCTGATGATGCCATAGGTGTTGGAGAAGGCGGTTGGCTATACAAAGAAGCTAGACGAAATCGAAGAACTGATATACGTCAACGCGGCTGTCTCGCGGAGCATCGCTCGTCATGCGATGGAGTTCTACAGTATCGACCAGGCGGAGTTAGACGAGCACATCAAGCAAGCCGAGAAGGACAAGCGGCAAGCAGATAAATTTGCGACGGCTCAAACATTAAAGCATTTCGTACGAGATTGGGCCGACGAAGGTCTCAAGGAGAGAAGCGAAGCCTTTCCATGCATCTTGAGCACGTTGCGCGCCATTAAAGCAGAGTCTCCAAATGGTGCATCTCTGAAAGTACTACTGCCAGGCTCTGGAGTCGGTCGGCTGGGCCATGATGTTGCAGATCTTGGAGGTGAATTTGTTCCAAACCATGTACGGCACGGCTACTGACCTTGTAACAGGGTTTGAGGTGACGATCAACGAGTGGTCGATGTTTATGAACGTTGGTTATCGCTACATGGAAGCGCAAAGGCATGCGAATGCTGTCACCATACACCCCTTCATCGAAGCAATGTCGCACCATGCCACGAAAGTCGACATGACGCGAAGTGTCACAGTGCCCAATATTACCCCCAACCCCGACGTACTGCTCGTCGAGGGCGATTTCAACACCGCCTTCAATGATCAATCAGGCCACTACGACGTCATCGTCACTCACTTCTTCATAGACACGGCCCGCAATCTCATGGCCTACTTCGACACCATTCACCGACTGCTGAAGCCTGGCGGTAGATGGATTAACTTTGGCCCACTCCTCTATGGTACCGGGCCTTTTGTGCAGCTCAGTCTGGAGGAGATCATTAATGTCGTTGAAGAGATGAAATTTGAGTTTGAGGATATAGGTAACGAGTGCGGTGAACTGACCTTCAAGGACAAGAAAGTTCGGAGCAAAGAGGCGGAGTACGGCTTCAACAGGAAGGCGCTAACTAGGTATGCGTATCTTGCGCAAGTATGGATGGTAAGAAAGACCTGAGATCTTTCGTAATACGGTGTGCGAAATGGTCTACAGCGCCATTAATCGCAGCCGAGTCGACGATAGAACGCTCTTCCAACCTGGACGGGCATGTGAGTCAAATATTAAGCGCGTACATATCAAAAAAGTGTTACACCCGAGAAACTGCTTGATGTTCGACCTCTATCACATGTCGAGCGCTGATCAAATTTAGAGAAGGCTATTGTATGGACAATGCTGCGAACACTGGGCGATAGATTACCCCTCGAGACTTCCATTCGGCTGAGCGACGGAACAGCTAGCGAATTACGACCGATAGCTGAGCGCGATCAGCATAGCCTGAATGTGTCGAGTATCACCAATCAGCGTTGAATAGATTAGATAACGAAGTCGTATATGACGGCGGTGATGAGGGCATGCTCAGATAGGCATGTTCGTCACCAGATGGAGGACTCTCGTGTGGCTGGTATTCGCTCGCGGCCGAGGATAAAGCAACAGTTGGTGATGAGTACTGATCAAAGATAACGTTGATACTTTTTGGTGCCGGGGCCGTGTTTCGGTAGGCGCGGAAGCTGGCCATTATGGACCGAGGCAGTAGGATTTTGGTTGTTTTGGTGAGAGCGGATAATGAAATCGAGCCACGTTCCAGCGCCGCCTACTTGTATACATAGTCGAGCACTATATCCAGGAAGGGAGAGCTCATGGACTCTAGGCTGACCTTTGCGTCAACCACGAGAGCAATCGATCAGTCACTGAGACATCCCTTTCTGATTTGCAGGCCCTCTACCATTCACACCAACACGATGGTTTGTTCCTGGAATGCGTCGTTGTGCATTGCTTCGCCGTGCATGAATCTGTCAAGATAGCAGTCGCCGATGAATTCGTAGTATCCTTCAGGCGCGTTGCCAGGCTGATTATCATCTTTGAAAACAAATTTCCCATCCATTCGGAAGGCTTGCTCATCGAAGGGTTTCAATGCTTCTCGTTCTTCTTGATTCAAATAAGTGGGTCGAAGAATGAACGGTACCCTGCTACCGTTTAGTACCCACACTTCATCTCCAACACAAGCAGTCGGATAGCAGAGACCATAGCCACTGTTACTAGTTTCGAAACAACACCTCATATACGTCGCAATCGCGATCTTCCCGTTGAGCGCCGAGTCCAGAAAAACGCCGTCTCGGACACATGAAAGGAAACCATCTAGCCGACACATCGAGGCAGTAGTGAACTTGGTCGACCAAGCGGGGTGTGTGCCGGCGTTCTGTGGTATATCCAGGCCTCCTAACAGTGTTCTCCAGAACCTTACGAAATTATCTGGATAGCTACCTCCTTCGCCGGAGGGATTATTGCAAGCATGGTAATCGGCTGCAATATCAATCCCATGCCAGTGGAGTGCATCCAGCACAAACTCCATGTATTGCTCCATCGACTGGTGGTTGTTTGTCACTTGCGAAACAGAGCCAACGGTCCCAACTCGTGTGCCTTCAACCTTGAGCCCCACCTGGTTCGCTTGAGGACTCCCTGATCGCGGCTGTCGCATAAGCAACACGCCTTTCGACTGATGATCGTCGGAAGCATTGAAGATGGCAGAATCATAGATATGTTCCCTATTGATAGCGATAGTGGAATCGAAGATACTGAAGGATGTATCAAACTGGCGCACCCATGATGCCCACTTTCCCGGTGCTGGGCCATACTGAAATCCCATCAAGCTCTTCAATGTGCCCCTTTCATGGTAAATCATGTGGCATGCAGTACGAAGGAAGACCTCGTGTATAGCCCAGGTGTAGTCAGGCTTCAGAGCTATATCTTCAGCAATTCCCAACAATCCGTAGACCTTGTCACGTGGGTCTTTACAGTCTCGGTGTCCATAGATTATATGCTCTTTTCGCAAGTCAAATCGTCTAATAGAGCTGCGTCCATCCATGTGACGAGTGCCGTGTAGAGACATAGTTATGCTCGCAAACCCTGACAGTGACGTGAAGAAGCCCCAAGGTAACTGTTCTACAGCATTAGAACAACACACTGTGAAGTGGCGGTGGTGATTTGCCCCAAAATCTGTTATGGTCTGTAGCGAAGTCGACCATATATCATAGGTCATTAGGCCCCTCTCAGGCAAGATGGCTTCTTGGGCGGTCCAAATGCGCGACCACCATGAACTTTCGGCGACAGCCTTGAATGCTGCAATGATGATGTTAAACCTATCGTTGGTCTCATAGACAATCATATCCCGTCCATGGTCGCTTTGAGTAATGAAACATGGCCATTCTGTGATGTGTCGATCGTCGGCCAGATGGTGCACAATTTCGAATGGGTCCACGGCTCCGTGGCTTTCGTCCTCAGCATTGCTCGCATGAGATGAGGATCGTGTGAGGCTACATCTAGAGCTATCACATCCCAGCCAGATCCGCACTTGAGCGCATTGTTCATAAATTTTGCCCATGAAGGCAACTTGATGGGATTTCTCTGTTGCATCTGATTGGTTGATGCAGACAGCGTCTACCCATAGAACGAGATCTTGCTCCGCGTTACGCAAGTGTCGCAACGCCTGCTCGAGGTTCGTAGTGACTTCAATTGTGAGGCCATTCACGTTGATCGGCTTGTTGGAGGCAGAGTCGCCCCACGTGTACGACAGAGCTTCATAAGAAGGCTTGTTGCGAAAGCTGACAGTTCGCATGGTGCATCGAATAGGCTCAGACACGCCATCAGCATGAACCGTAAGAAGACGCAAGTGGTCGCTGTCGTCCGGCAGAGCATCGTAGATAGGGTAAGTTGATGTTGACATGGCTTCGTTGATGCTTGAAACCTTACTTGGTTACCTCACGAAGACGCAGCCTTGGAGCGGAGGCCGCCTTCCACGTGCTCACTTCACTCGTGACACCCCACCATCGTTGAATCAGCTAGAACGCCACATCTCAGCCTCGCGCAACTATCTTCAACTATTTCATCACTTCATCTCCTACCCGGATAAATCACGTACACATTCATGCACGCCGACCTCCAACTTCCTCGTCTTATCAACCCAACACAGTCGCGTAGTCGATCCCTGTCCTTCCCCGCCCTCCCACCTCTTCCCAAAACAGCAGCTTTACCAGTGCGCACGGAGACAAGGCGTCAGCAGACTTGCTTCACCCCAGCGCAAAGCAATGTGCGAGGCTAGTTCCCAGGATACACCTGCGTGCACCTGCAGCAAAAGAACGGCCCACTAGCGCTGAATAAGGCGGCAAGTCCGTCCCGACTAGCTCACCCCTTGCCTCATCCAGAGGCAATGATTTAGCCAACGCCAATGGCTCTCCAGTAGTCGCACATGTCAAACTCGGGCGTCTTGCGACCGCGGATGCGATAAGAACGACAACAACGACGGCACTGATTGCACAGCTGGTTCTGCAACATTGGTGCGCGCCTCGGAATCTCGCGGCTATCTGTCCCACGTATTGATTGGGCGTCATCACTGGGACAGCGACATCCAACAAGAGACGGGAACCGTTTTGTGCGCAGCGCGCACCCTGGAGAAGAAACAAAGTTACCCACAAACACCAACTTTATATCTGCTTTTGGCCTCCCGTGGGAACCTACGGCCACCGTTGTCCATTGATCTTGGCCCGAGCGATCAATACTGCGCTTATATATTGAGGAACGGGTACCCTTTCCGCGCAGCGCGCCCTGGAAGTCCAAGGAACGAAGTCGTCGGCTAGAGCATCCGTATAACGACCATGGCCGACTTATCGCACACCCAGACCCACGATGCCATGCTCAAGAACGCCGCGCATCTTTCCGAAGATGCTGCATTGGAAGACGAAGAGCTAGGCATCTCGTCGTCTTCGCGACGAGTCGACTTTGGAAGAGATGGGACTGCCGGCGGCGTTGAACATGGCGGAGGAGATGGGAATGAGGCACGTGAGCAGCGACCGAAACACAAGAAGAGAAGATTCGGGTCAGGTAAGAAGAAGGAGAGCTACAGCCACATGCACTACAAGGTGTACAAGAGACGGTGGATTGGCTTGGGACAGTTGGTGTTGTTGAACATCGTCGTTAGTTGGGATGTAAGTTGACTTCGTTGCTTCTTCGTGGTTGGTACGGAAAGGGTCTTTTAGGGTCAGGGTCCCGCGCACGCTTTAAAACTCGACAGAGCTACTAATGCCACTATGACCGAATGTCCCAAAGACGACTTCTTGTCGTTGAAGACAACGGGAGGCGCGAGATACCATTGACTAACAATCAATCACTAGTGGCTGACCTTTGCCCCCATATCCACCACATCTTCCCAATACTTCAACGTCCTCGAAAGCACCATCAACTGGCTCAGTACCGCCTTCCTCTTCGCCTTTGCAGTGTCCACGCCACTGACAATCTACCTCCTGCACAGGGGCCCTAAACCTTCCATCATCGCCGCCTCCGTCTTACTCTTGGCGGGGAACTGGATCAGGTATGCGGGGACCAAGACAAACGTTTTCAGCGTGGTCATGGTCGGACAGATATTGACGGGGCTTGCGCAGCCTTTTGTGCTAGCAGCGCCGACGCGGTATAGCGATATGTGGTTTACGGAGGGAGGAAGGGTAGGGGCTACGGCGTTGGCGAGTTTGGCGAATCCGTTTGGGGCAGCGGTATGTTATGCACTTTGAACAATAGAGGTAGATCGCAAAAAGACATACTAACGTGACGGCACAGCTTGCGTCGTTGATCAACCCGTTCCTGGGTGATGTACCGACTACAGTGTTGATTGTATCGTGTATAGCAACCGCAGCCTGTATTCCGGTACGTCTTCCGCCGTACCCTCCTCTCGTCCTATGCATGCCCAACCCAGGTCTGAACATGAAGTTAACATCAAACAGTCATTCTTCATACCCGCCTCTCCCCCCTCACCACCCAGCGCCTCATCCGCCATAAGCAAAACCCCCATCTCCACCTCCCTCAGCACAATGCTACGCACCCCATCCTTCTACCTCGTCTTCTTCACCTTTGGCATCTACACCGGCTTCTTCAACGCCTTCACCTCTCTCCTCAACCAAATCCTGTACCCATACGGCTACACCGAGGACGAAGCGGGAATCTGCGGCGCCGTCCTCATCGTCGTCGGCCTCGTCGCATGTGCCATCACTTCGCCCATCGCCGACAAAACGCACGCCTACCTCCTCGGGATAAAGATCCTATGCCCGATCCTATCAGCCGCGTATCTAGCCATGATCTGGGCGCCGCAGACGCGCAGCATTGCAGCGCCGTATGTGCTTAGTGCGGTGCTGGGCGCGTGTTCGTTTAGCCTGCTGCCCATTGCACTGGAGTACCTGGTCGAGATTAGCTTTCCCGCTTCGCCAGAGGTGTCGAGTACTATCTGCTGGGTTGGTGGGCAGGTCTTTGGCGGCATCTTCATCGTCGTTATGAACGAGCTTAAAGATGGTCGGCCAGTGGATCTGGAACAGGTGCAGAAGGCGGGTAGGGGCCAGGCGGCCAAGGGAGGGGATAGACCGCCTGGTCATATGTTCTGGGCGTTGGTTTTCCAGGCTGTGGTCTGTGCATTGGTGTTGCCGTTGCCGCTTATGTTGGGGGTGGAGCGGCTGGGGTTCGCTAGTAGAGAGGGGAGATTGAAGAAGGATGTCGATGGCGATAGTGTTGTTGTTGGTGGTGCTGGAGAGAGGGGTGATGTGGAAGTAAATGGTGGGGTTCCGGGAGCGGAGCGATGACTACTTGAGGATATGGATTCTGGTGAGGATTACGAGAATGACGATGACGACAACGACTATGATGAGGGATACTCGTCGTAGGCTAGGATTTTCCTTTGGTCTGGGCTGTTTGGGAGGGACTGGTTTTTTCTTGGCTCTGTCTTTGTCATGTACGTAATGGGATTCATGTCCGCATATGACCAACACGCTGTGTTACGACATGTTCTCGATGATGTGTACCAATGTTTGACTCAGGCAAGATACAAGTACAGTGATATTCTAAACACGGGCTCTAATATGTACAGTCATCCACTGCATGTGATAATGTCTTGATGCTTGCATTCATTTCCGAAACGGCTACGTTCCAACTACCTGCTACCAACACATGGGTATTCGCTATAGGAAGAAGGACGAGGATCGGCTGGGGGCGATTTACTTGAGCTGAGCGAAGAGCTTGGGGGCAGCGCATTGGGATGCGCAGTGAGCAAGGTGGAAAACTGTGGTTATGTTAGAGGGAGGAAGAGGGGGTGACGCTGGGGAGTGGAAGATTGACATACATTCTTCAACGCAGTCCTCGCTGGCCTTGCCGTCGTTCTCAATCTGGCCTGTCACCCGTTGAGCGCACTCGTCGTAGTGGTGCTTGGGGCCGTGGCATTCCTTGGACTCGGCGCATTCTGCATGAGGTTGTTAGCCGCGGTGCTCTCTGCGATGGCTCTAGGCATGCGGTGGTTCGATTCTGTAGGTGCCTTTATCGGAGAATGCGTCCCCAACCGTAGCCATCTAGAGCCGCAATGCGCCACTCAAGCGACGGGTGTTTTGTTCCTGGGTCCGGGATAACTTACCCTTCTCGAGTTGCTCCTTGGGGTCCGGCGTCTCCTCCTCTTCCTCGTCCTCCTCTGGCTCATCCTCATCATCACCACTGGGCTTGTGTCCTTGCTCTCCGGAGTCGCCGCCACTCTTTGCGTCTTGCTTGTTGACATCGGCTTCTTCGGCGCTCTCCTCGTCGGTGCCAGAAGCGGGCGTCTGGGTGCTGGAGCCACCTTGGACAGGCGCCTCGGCATCGGCCGAGGGGTGGGAGAAGGTCTCCCAGACGTCGGTGAAGAAGTCGGTGATACCCATTGTGAATGCTCCGGGGCAATTGGGGGTCCTCGAGTTGGGGTGCGGGTGGTAGCGGAGGAGTGGGTGATGATTTGGAGAGCTGCGAGAGGTCGGCATCACGAAAATGGGCGGCGCCAAGCATTCCTGAGGTTAGCGGCGTCATGTAATTCTAAGCCATCTCAGTGGTCTCTGACTTGGCCGCACCACACACCCTGTATTTCTCCAACAGAGTGCTATTGCAGTACGGACTGGCTGTGGCTAGTTCCTGTGCCTTCTGAATGCCTCTTCCACACTCAGGCCGCTTCCGACATCCGCAACCACCTTCTCGTCCGCCTCGACCAGCCTAGGCAGCAACTCGAGTAGTTCCTCCACCTTGCCCTGAGGCACCGCGACCACACCATTCTCAAATGGGTCTATCATTATGATGTCGCCTGCTTCAACCACCGTCTCGCCAATCCTTACCGGCACATTGTATGCATGAAACTTGGTCTCAGCCCCTGCGCCAATGACAGATGTCGCTTTGGACCAGACGGGAAGCTGCGTCTGATTAAGAGCCGTAATGTCTCGCACCCGACCGTCGACTACAATTCCCTCTGCACCTAGATGCTGCATGCGCGCTGCCATGATACCCCCGACAACTGCGCACGATTGTCCCGCGGGTTGGCTGATTACTACAATGGTGCCGCTCTCGGTGTAGTCTGCATACGGCCTGGAGTCTGAGAGGTTGGAAGCTGGCATAGTGTCTGACATCTTGGGTGGGGTTGGGAAGGATTTGGTCGCTTTAGGGATCATGAGAAAGGTTGATGCAGGCGCGAGGACCTTTCTCGGCTCAGGCTTTGGTATGCTGGATGTGTGAAGCAGCGGTCCTGACGATAGAGTCAACGGTTAATTCAACATGGGTTTGAACAGCCAAGTCGTACTGATGTCAGCGAGGAAGCCCGCGCCTGGGACATGCAGCTTCAGTAGACCATCAGCGAGCTATGCATGTTTAGCCATGATTCTGGGTACAGTCAGGTAAGGTGAGCGTACGTCACATGCTGCATATTCATATAACTTCTTCCATCTTGGAGCTGCCATGATCGTATACAGTAGTGTAAATTTTGGAATGATGAAGGTGTTTGTAAATTGATCGTAACACGCGATGAGCTATGAGGCTCTTACCCCGCCAGCCGAGGTGCGCCGTACTTTAACAACTGCATCTTCTCCAACCTAGAGCTAGACACACTTGGATACCTTGTGCACGGTACATCCTCACGCATGAACATTTGACTATTCGTGGTTCTCGGAATCTAACAGCAATGCTTTGGGCACCTACGTCATCAATACAGTGGTCCTGGGCCCGCCGGAACACACACGCAGTCGCAGCGCACTGCACTACGTATTGAATGAAGATGTGACGGCGCAGCTGGCGCAAGACGATAGCAGGGTAGATTTGGCAAAGTCGTCGTCTGCTTATGTCACGCCGATGTCGAGAGGTGGACAACGTCAGATGTATCGCCAAGCGGAGATATGCAAGGGTCTCTCGGATTGACGATCCATCTGAGCACTGGCCTATTCTGTCGCTTTCCATACTGTGCTTCACCATTAACGCTCAGTGGCATCTCGCCGCTACGATTTCACAACCGCCCACGCGCGCCTGTTCCTTTTCTTCCATCTGGTGCTTTTCATAGACTTTGCGGCCTCTGCCGCTGCTTAATACTTTGCCCTGGCCTTCCACGCGGCCGGCGCTCTGCAGGTACGTTTTGCCACGAGTCCGACATCGCGTCATTGAACCCCTACTTATAAAGATGTAGAACGTCGCTTCTGTCACCTCAGGACTGTGGCCCACCATGTCCACTGTCATGCGATCTCAGTGGCAGGCCCTTGGGCGAAAGCCCGCGGCTGCCGGTATGAGGCAGCTCTCGACTATCACAGCATCTGAGTCCATGTCGACAGCTGGCGCGCATGCACGTCGCTCAGCATCGTCGCTGTCTCAGGCTCCCAAACCCACATCTGTCACTTCTGGCACATCCGCAGGTCAGTCGCCGAGAGGAGTCAAGTTGGCCCGTCGTACTGACACTCTGCAGCACCGCGCATCGGACTGTGCAATCCCTTCCTCATGGCCTCGCCCTTCGGTTCTCTCAAAACACGGCAATACACTACCATGTCGCACAACGGCCCGCTCTCGCACATTCGTCAGTTGGCCAAGCCCGGCATGCTCGGATTGAACCTCGTCCAACAGCGCTCGCTCTTCGGTAAACCCTCTTACGACCAACTCGCTCGACTCGAACAGGCTGCGAACGCCAGCCCCAACAGCGTACCGGCTCAGGCTGCCTTCTACTCTGCACTCGTGCGCGCCGATATGCACCAAGTCATCGTCGACCGGTACAACACTGGACGTTTCGCTACCAGCGCTATAATCAACAAGATCTACAACAATGCTTTGGCAAAGACGGGACAGGAAGGCGGCGCACAGTCGGGTCTCAACGAGCAACAGCGACAGGCTATCAGCCAGGCTGTCGGTGCGAATGCTAGTAACGCTCAGGTCGCAAGGACCACGGGCGGCACTGGCGTCAAGGCCGACCCCGTTTACGTCGTTGTAGAAGAGTCCATGATGAACGTCGTCTTCAAGTGGGTGCGGTGGATGTTCGGTTTCGCCCTGGCTTGCTACGTTTCCCTGATTCTCATCACACTCTTCGTCGAGACCAGCGGCGTCCTCAAGAAGGTCGGCGGCGGTACTACTGCTGAAGTCCGCCCTGAGCAGCAAACCACCCGCTTCAGCGATGTTCACGGATGCGACGAGGCCAAGGAGGAACTCCTCGATGTTGTCGACTTTCTCAAGAACCCCGACAAGTACAACAAGCTCGGTGGCAGACTTCCCAAAGGTGTACTTCTCGTTGGCCCCCCCGGTACTGGTAAAACACTGCTTGCTCGTGCTTGCGCAGGAGAAGCCGGCGTCCCCTTCTTCTACATGTCTGGTTCCGAGTTCGACGAGGTCTACGTCGGTGTCGGAGCAAAGCGTGTCCGCGAACTGTTCACGGCTGCTCGATCCAAGGCTCCTGCCATTGTCTTCATCGACGAACTCGACGCGATAGGCGGAAAGCGCAAGTCACGCGACGCCAACTACCACCGCCAGACCCTCAACCAGCTTCTGAACGATCTCGATGGTTTTGACCAAAGCACCGGTGTCATCTTCATTGCTGCGACCAACCACCCTGAACTTCTCGATCAAGCTCTACTCCGTCCCGGTCGTTTCGATCGCCATGTTCAGGTCGAACTCCCTGACGTTGGTGGCCGACTTGCCATCCTCAAGTACCACACCAAGAAGATCCGCCTGTCTCCCGATATCGATCTTTCGTCCATCGCCCGCGGCACCCCAGGCTTTTCTGGTGCCGAGCTAGAGAACCTCGCAAATTCCGCCGCTATCCGCGCCTCCAAGCTTCAATCAAAGTTCGTCTCTCTCAATGACATGGAATGGGCCAAGGACAAGATTACCATGGGCGCTGAGAAGAAGTCGCGCGCCGTTCCCCTCCAAGACAAGATCCATACCGCTTACCACGAAGGCGGTCACGCACTTGTTGGTCTCTTTACTCAGGGCTTCAACACCGTGCACAAGGCTACTATTCTGCCGAGAGGCCATGCTGCAGGTATCACATTCTTCCTCCCACAAGAGGACCACCACCACACACGCAAACAATACATCCGCCAGCTGCAAGTAGCTATGGGCGGCAAAATGGCTGAAGAAATCGTGTTCGGCGCGGACAATGTGGCTGACGGCGCGTCGGGCGATATCCAACAGGCCACCTCCCTAGCCTACAACATGGTCACAGCCTGCGGTTTCTCCGACAAGCTCGGCAACGTAGATTTCAAATCAAACTACGAAATGGTATCGCCAGAAACCAAACGCCTCATTGACGACGAGGTCCGACGGTTGATTGACGAGGCCAAGAGTAGTGCGAGACAGTTGTTGTTGAGCAAGAGGGCGGAGCTGGATAAGCTGGCTGATGCGCTTGTGCAGTATGAGACGTTGGATAAGGAGGAGATATTGAAGGTTATTAGAGGGGAGGATTTACCGGGGAGGTTGAAGGCTATGCCTAATGCGCCGATTAAGATTCCCGAGAATCCGCTTTCGACTGCTATTTTACCGCCGCCGAGGGGGAATGGTGGTGGTGATGGGAGTGGGAGTGGACCGCCCGGGCCGCCTATACCTGCGTAAAGGAACGGGGGTGTATTAGCTAGGGTGTGTGGTTGACAACGGGTTGACATGATTGATTGTGTGCGGATGAAAAGCACGCATGTGTCTTGTCATATCTGGGCGAGATGGCGTTGTGAAATTCGCCTTTTTTCCTTCTCCCTTACATTACTAAAGGGGTTGAGTCGCTTTTACATAGCGCGTTATGAATGTACAATATTAAGCATGAAATAAGGTTTAGAAGCATGAAGAGCCTCTGAGGCTAAGTCTGGATGGTGTGGATGGTGACTAAGATCCTAGGTGCCTCGTCTATTGATTTGATGGACGTGTTAGTGATGAGACGTAGGCACAAGGCTGTCGAGTTACACTATGTCGTATCGCGGTAGAAGTGTATATGCAAACACTCGGCTTCACCATATGCAGCTGTATATGGTTGGCTTGTCTCTTATGGCTCATGGCTACAACACTGATTGCCGGAAGTTGAGTAATTGGGTGTAGAAGCGCTGAGGCGCTCTCTGCCAATGATGGCTCGTGACTGGCATGCATAGGATCGTCACCGCAGTGCTTCAGCCTTGTGAGTCGCGCCCTGTATTCTTCCCTTCAGTGATGGGCTGATACCCCTCAGCTGAGGGGGCAGTAGGGCATTAGAGATATTGTTTCCTACTTGCCTATACATTATCCTGCATTTCTTCATCTCATAAATTGTTGACGCGATTGCTACAGCCTACGAGATAGGTCACTATCAGGAGGAGTGAACCTTTGCTACCTGTGGGCGATAATGCAGTATTCTACATCATTCTATCTCTGAGGGTACGGCCAAACATGGCGAACGAGCCGAATGCAAGTTCAATGCCCAGCGATAGAGACGCTTCCTTCCGTCCGCCAATACCAGTCACGATCGAAGCGGCATCTCCCTCTCCAGCGGCGGGACACACCATGCTACCACCAGCAACACATCCCGATGACGGCGACAGCACCGCGGCTGTAGGTGACGAGCCAGAATCGGGCGGTAAACAAACAAGGGCCCAGCTACAACATGGTACGATAGGCTTCGTACGCAAGGTCTCTTGCGGTGCTTTCGACAAGAAAAATCGGTTCGAAATTGCTCGGACGTGGAACTACAATTCCTGGAAAGGTCGCAAAGAATTCAGTTACATTGCAGAAGCCGGGCCCCGGAGATTCCGAGTGAGCTTGCCATGCTCAGGCGAAGCAGTAGAATCTAGGGAAGAGTGGATGGATATCCATGAAGCCAACATACGTGGTCTCATATTTGAGGAACAGAAAAATGATCGTAGAAAGCTTCGGGTGATGTACTTCGTCATGGCCAGACCCCCACAATTCTACGAACGAAAGAATTCCAAAGACGCTGTGGTATTGCCTTCGCGCAGACCGTACCCTTCTAACATGCCGGTGGCCATGGACGACATGTACGTTTGCGCCATTCCGTGGGAAATTCAGTACTCCCGCGTGTACAGCTCACAGCATTCGAGACGAGATCGGAAAGTGGGATTGTGGAAGCAACGAAAGTTTGAGCAACAATTCGTCAAAGTGGGGTGCTCGAGTCTCTCTTGCGTTCACAACATCCCAGAGGGTGACGAATTTGAAAGAACACGAAGTGGCAATCCGACCTGATATACCCCCAGAGTCAAAGTTCCCCAACACAGATGGCTGCGGCATAATCTCTAAGAAGCTTTGCCACACTATAAACCGTAGTCTTGGATCAGCAAGTTCAACAGTAAGATCTCCCTAGTACAGGTTAAGGCCATCAACTAATGTGCGACTGCAGCACCCACGAGCGTTCCAGATTCGCTTTGGTGGTGTCAAGGGTGTAGTCTATACCGCCGCAGACTCTCTGCTCATACACGAAGGCAAACGATGTGAAATGCTCTTAAGGAAGTCACAAATGAAGTTCACGACTCCGGAGAGCGCGGAATGCCAGCTAAGGGTCGTTTACTCAACGGGTGAACAACACCAGTGCTTGTTCTTTGACTCTGCACTGAAAGCCTTCGAAGATTCCGGCGCAGACACGGGGAAGATCGAGGAAATCTTTGGTAAGACTTACGACGAGCTTGCCAACGGTTCCTCGACTGGTCTAGGACATCTCCAACAGATCTTCCGGATCAGCAATGACTTTGACCACAGTAGTGCAGACAAAAGACATCATCTGCTTAAGCTGGCTGTGACGCTGAAGCATCTGAGCCCTGCCATCAATCCTGAGGACTATCCCCACAGCTTCTTGGCTCTCTACCTCACGAAGTTAGGTCAGCGCGTCCGCGACAGAGACATGTTCAAGATTCCTATCCCTGGAAGTTACAATGTCCTTGGTCTCACTGACGATTATGGAATTCTGGACAGAATGCAAGTTATTGTGCGTGCTCATGGTCGTACAATCGATGGAAAGGTCTTGTTGTATCGAGATCCGATCGTACATATCGGAGACATTCAGATAGCCAACGCGCTCAGCGAGCGAGAGATCGAGGCAGTAATGATCAGACGCGTCACTGAACTTCGACTAGGGTTTGTACAGTACTAGGTCAAAAGTTTTGCGCGCCAAGCTGCCGAAGCGCCGCAACACCATTTTGGGCAATGCTTTTTTTGGGTGATAACTCACCCAAAACTGCATCTTTTTTAATGTTTTGAAGCAGCATTCCATTGTCGATAGCTAATACCTTGTGTGCCATCCTTTGGCGTTAATACAAGCTTTAATTCGGCGTGGCATGGACAAGATAAGGGCTTTGATCAAAGCGCCGGGGATACTCCGCCAGCACAATTTCAGCGCGTTACAGAATCTATCCCACTCCTCTTCTGCCTTTGAGAGGTTGTTGTATCGCGGGTAATAAGTATGGAGACGCCTTTTAAGATGCCACCAAAGGTGTTCAATTAGGTTGAGATCAGGTGAGTACAGCGGCCATTCAATGGGTTGAATATGGTGGGTTTCCATGAAGTTTACCACTACGCCCGCCGTGTGTATCCTCGCGTTATCGTGCATGAACAGCTGTGAAGCTCTCCAGTGAGGCAGAAGACCTTGTTGCAGCGCTTAGATGTACGATTGGGCGCTGTACCCACCGTGGGGAGCATCAGGATCTCGCTGCATTATGATGAGATCACTCCGCCGAGGACACCCACGTTCATCGAGCCATATTGCTGCCCACACCATCTGGGCAGGTTTGACAGCAGTTGGGACCTCCGTAAGCATCCTTGGCTTCCATTTCTCGTCGTTGTAGCGAAAGCACCACTCGTCATTTGTATTGGAACCCTTCTGAATAGAGCACTCGTCTGAGAACTTAAGCGTGCGTCGATGCCACGCGAAATGGCGATGGTCCTTGCAGAACTTTAAGCGCTTACGAGCGCGCTAGGGGGTCAGCTTTGGACGCTTTTTGCAGCGTACGTGTAACAAACCAGTCTTACGGAGGACCCTGTACAGCGTGGAGCGGCTGGGTGGCTCGGATGGGGTGCCATCAGGTGGGTGCACTTGGGCTATTTCTTGGAGCTCCGCGTACGTTATCTTGGGATTTTTTCGCACAGCTCGATACACCAGCTTGCGCGCGTGCCTCGACAGTATTGGGGGACGTCCGCTGCGTGGTTTGTCTTCTGTTGTGCCCGTTGTGGTGGCTTTGTTGATGAGGCGTCGTATGGTTGATGCCGAGCGCCCGCACGCTTCCGCCACCTCAACCGCTGAACAGCCAGCTCGCCACATCCCGATGGCGATATTGCGCTCGGCAGGACTCATATTCGGCTTACGGCGCGCGTTTTGCGATACCTCACGTCCAGAAATACGCTGTGTTGGCATAGTTATCGTGGGTTGTTGTTGTGGTGGTGGTGATGGTGGGGGAGAGATTTGGCGCTAGTGGTGCAAAACTTTTGACGCGTAATTGTAACAAACAACGAGGACAGGTTGAGAGCCAAAGAACGGGTCGAGGCGTTGCTGCATCCTCAACTGGACAACGTCATTTTTTTCTCACAACACGAGCAGCCTTCGTTACCCAACCAGCTTGCCGGCGGAGATCTGGACGGAGACAGATATGAGGTTGTGACCGAGGATTGCGGCTTCCTGGGGCCAGAATATACCACAAGCCCCCCTGCAAATTATACCGAGAGCGAATCATGCAGCAGCAGCAAGGCCACGAGCAGAGCTTGTACAAACAAACCGTTCGACATCAATGGTGTCGCTAGATTTATTGGTGATTACATTCGGAACGACTGTTTCGACGTCCTTCAAGAACATCTGATGTGCATGGCAGATCAAAAGTGCATGGCGAGCCAAAATTGTATAGCACATCAAAAAGGTATACCGCACCAAGAAGAGCACGGTATGAGGAACCCGCAGGTGAAGGAACTATCGCCGTGGTTGTCAGAAGCGGTAGACTATGCCAAGTCTGGTAAAGAGGTTAATCTGGAAAGCCAAGTCTTGAACAATCCCAAATTCAGCATTCGAAAGGAGAAACCGGATTTCGTCCACGCACTCAGACGAAAGGCCTTCTACGATCAAATGGACGAAGAGATAGATTGCGGGAAGACTCCATCCGAGTACATGGATGAGTCCTATGAGCCTGAACCTGGCTACTATGAGTCTCCTCATCTCCTGGGGAGAATCTACCGAAAGATCATCGGCAAAAAGTTCCCCGAAGTGGGCAAATGCGACAACATGGGCCTGGAACAAGCTGTCATCAATCACAACTCTTTGCTACAGAAGAGACATCCAATCGACATAGTACGACAGCAACATCCCCCTAGCAACAAGCTATACCAACAGCTGACTGGCAACATGCCACAACAAGTTTCGATTCCGCATATGTCTGATCAACAAGTGAACCCAATCATGGCGAAAGTCTCTTCATTGGGTTACAGGCTGCCACATCGAACACTGACTACCACGGCGCCAGACACTGCGTACTCACCTCGCGCCACACTAGATCAGCCCCCATTGGATTACTCTGCAAGAGTGACTGAATTCGTGTTGAGTGAAATGCGCTATTACCGCAAGTACCTCGGAGCGCGCGGCATAGAGGAGGAGACAGAATACGAGATGTTTCTACATTTGTCCAATGATGGATTTCCTGACGTCCTTATTCCAGAGTTGCTATCAGTCAATCAGTCAGTTGTCAGTTCATCTTTGCGGTTCAAACTGTCAGTCTGGAGGTAGTGAACTGACCTGATTGACTGCCAAGACATTTTTTAGAATCGCGAACTGAGACT